CACATCACCTCTGTGGAGCTGTTTCCTCATCTGGCAACTCGGGCCAGGGCCACCTACCATACAGGGCTGTGGTGAAGTAAATGGGAATTCCCAGAACCCCCAGGAAACAGCTGTTGAGTTGAATTGGTCTTTTAAGGACAGAGGACAGACATATCCCCCATCTAGCCCAGGAAAGCTCGAGCGACACTTCAGCGCAGAATCCCAGATCCTGCGTTTGAAGCCACTCTAGAGGGTCAGGGGTTGCTCCCTCCCCTCTTCAGCTATGTCTGCCCTGGACGAGGGCCCCAGGGAGCAAGTTTGCCTTTATCGTTCCCGCAAATCCAGAAGCAGCACTTACTGAATGCTTACTGTGTGCCGGGCTCTCCGCAAGCCCCTTAATCGAGTCCCTTTACACAGGAGGAAACAGGGTTGAGAGCCGCACCCTGGGTGCTCAGTACCCTGTGGGACGGAGACCTGACCCTACAAAGTCTGGGTGTAAACTCTGCGCTTTTAGGAAGGGAACATCATCTACTGGAAATAACTGAAAATATGAACGTGGGGCAGTGTCTCACAGTTGCAAGGCCTGTGCACGCACGTGATTCAGTTTTGTCCTGATGTCACCAGGGAGAATGGTGTCACCATTTCCATCTTACAGCTGAGGACAGTGAGGCCGGGAGAGGTGACGGAGAAGTGGCCAAGCATGGAATGTGGGTCCTTTGTTCTTCCTTCTGCCCGCCAGCTGCCCCTTGGGGAGATCGTTCTGTGGCTTGAATGGTGGCCGCCAACAGGCCCATGGCCCCGCCTGCCCCAGGCCTCCCTGGGGCCACCCCCCCTCAGGGGGAGCACAATCCAGCCAGTCTCCGCACCCACTCCCTGCATCCACTGCTCCTTCGACCGCAGATCCTTGGGGCCATGGATTAGTCCTGAGAGGAAAGTAGATGAGCAGTTTTCAGACTCCGTTCCTTGGAACCCCTGGGGAAGCCAGGTTCGGGGTTAGGATAAGGGATCCATGAATATTTAAGTGGCAGCCTCACCTCTGTCTCTTTTGTATTTGGGTTGCCATGTTAAGTTTTTTAAAACAAAGGGCTCTATGGGATTAAAAATGTATATGTTTACTAACCACTGTCTAATCCAGCAACTGCCTTCCCATTATACAGATGGAAAAATGGACTCTAAAGCCCATATTTCCCCTATAAATGATCATAATATTCAGGCATCGTTCTGTTCTTTTCTTTAAACTTATTTAACCCCCGTAACCCCACCAGGGCACCATGTGTGTTTTCCATTTTACGGATGAGAATGCTGAGGCTCAGATGGTGAAGGAGTTTGCCCAGAGGTTCTAATGCAGGGAGCCTGGCTCCCAAGTCCACACTCTTAGCCGCTCCCAGTCTGGTGGCCACGCCTGCTCTTTGTGTTCTAGAGGGTTGGCCGAGGCCTGGGGTGAGGCAGGGTCGGAAGCGGGACCAGAACACAGATCTGCTGCCTTCCAGCCCAGGCCCCGGTGACCCCCTCCCATCTGGGACATCGCCTGGGCTGGAGGGGGGGACGGGCAAGCCTGTGTGGACCTTGGCTCTGTTCCTCCCGGGCCGTGTGACTGTGGACAAGTGAACGGACCTCTCTTTGAGCCTGCTTCCTCACGTAAACGGATAATGGGGCCCACATCGTGGAGTTACGAAAGTTAGGCAGAATCGTCACGTGAGTTGGTTGGCTCGGGGCCTGGCCCCAACTGTGGGGCCCTGGCCACCCTCAGTTTCTGGATCCAAGGAGTCCCCTGCCTCCCCTGCCTGCTGCCTCCTCCCTCTTTGCAGCCTTCACCTGCCCTTGTGTCACACAAATGCTAATTACAACCATTTCTGTGCACTGCTTCCTGGTTGAGCCTAATTACTGGGCAGCTCTGTCATCATCGTCATCATAAATATCATTAAGTGAGACAGATTAACTTTGTCCTGAGCTTTATGTGATTAGGTCAGCAAATTGTTTGGCACACTTGGTCTCTGCCACTTGGAACTTACCAGCCTGGTTGTCCCGCACAGCTCAGGGACCGCTTCAGGTTTCCGGTCTGTCTTGAACTTGGCGCTCAGAGATCCGAGTGGACGACTCGGCCCCTTTAACCTGGCCAGGAGGTGATGCCTGAAGTCGGGATGCAACACATGGGGGCTGCCATCTTATTTGTTGTAATGGCAACACCACCCACTTTGGGGATAGAGGCACCCAGGTTCCCATCCAAGCTTTGTTATTTATTAGATGTCTGACTTTGGGCGAGTTACTTACCCTCCCTGAATTACAGTTGTTTCCCAGTATGCAACAGGGCAAAGCCAAGGCGATGATAGGTGCCAACAAGGACCAGGCCCAGCACCTGGCAGGCCGTAGGTCCTCCTAGTTTTCCCTTCCCTTCCGTCTTCCACCATTCTCAGTTGGACTCGAAGAGCCAGCCCTTTCTGAATCCACCACCAAGATGCACACATTTACTCAGTGCTGCGTCTCTGTGAGGCACTGGGCCAAGGACTTTATGTGTCTAGTTTTATTTACTATGACCCTAAGAGGTGGCACCATGGACATCATCATGTGACAGACGAGAAAACCAAAGCACAGAAAGGAAATGGAATGACTCCATCCAGGTCACATGGCTGCCCTTGGCTGCGGTCTGTTGGGATGAGATGCTAGAAGGCCCTGCAGCGCAGTCTGAGAAGGCTGCCTGGAGGAGGATGCATCTGAGCTGAAGAGTTAGCCAGGGGGAGGACCGGCAGAGGGGCCTCGCAGGCAGAGGGCAGTAGCTGTGCAGAGGCCTGGAAGCAGGAAGCACACTCACCTCTCAGTGAGGTTCGAACACATGACGGGGAAGTGCTGAGAGGGAGGCTGGAGAGGAGCCAGGGGCCAGGTCCTGGGGTGTGAATGGAGGGGGTTGGGAGCCAAGCCAGGCTCATGCTTTCTTTTGCCCCTTCCAGGAAGCCAGTGTGTGAAGGAGAGTAGCTGGATTATATCAATTAGTTTAGAAGGTTCTGCTTGCAGCCAGCCCAGGGAGGAGGGACCAGGGCAGTGATAATTGGAGATGGGGAGGGGGGTGCTCAGGGGGCTAATCAGAGAAGGCTTCTAGGAGAAGGAGGCAGAGGCAGGTGGGCCTGGATAGAGGGGCAGAGCTGTCGCCGGGGGCAGACATGGAGAGGAGCATGGTAGGAGCCATGCTTGGGGCTAGACAGTCGTGGTATGGTGAGTGGTGGCCTGTGTCAGAGAGTAAGGAGTTGCTGGCCAGGTTTGGGACTTGGGTGTGGGGTGGCCTCAGCAGGCCCTGAGGTTATTGGTTGGCAACACTAGGTGAGGCTTTCGGTGCCTTCCAGGGCCCCCCAGGCAGGTGAGTCAGCGCCTGGCCAAGTGGGTGAGTGTCTTCCATCGGCTTCGTGTGTGAGCAAGCCTCCCACTGCCCACACATGACGGGGAGCCCAGCCTGGCGTTCTGGCCCAGACCAGAGCGATTAACTCCTTGGCTGGCAGGGCTGCTGCCTCGACCTCCCACACCTGCTCTGTGTCCTTGGCCGCTCGGCATCTCCCCGAGTCTCACCTTCGGGCCTCCATTCCCCTAACTCCTGCCCACCTTCCCCCGCTTGATGCTCAGGCCTCCGGCTCCATCGGACCCCTGGGTGGCACAACGTGGTCTCCCTCCCCGACCCCCAGTCATATCCCTCCCAACGTCCCACACTTCGAACGGGGCAGTCTGCTGTTCCCAGAGGAGGTCAGTCCGGAGAGCCAGGCTCCAAGGTGGCACAGGAAAAGGGGGGGCCCTGGGGCTGGGGAATCTGGGGCTGAGCCCCACTCTGCTGCCACCTGGCACGCTGCCGCCATCCTCTGACCTCCGGCTCTGCATCTGTAAAATGGGGACCCGGCGGCTTTGTCCACAGGGTGATCATGAGACACAAATAAGATAAGGGTGTATGTGAAAGCTTTGTAAAATAAGAAGTGTTGGGGTTGCCTTGGGGTCGACGGCCATTTTCTGTGTAAGGGGACAGCCAGTTGGATTTTTTAAATTATTTATATTTATATATTAAAAAATAAATATATTTTTTAGAGAGAGGGGAAGGGAAGGAGAAAGAGAGGGAGAGAAATATCAACGTGTGCTTGCCTCTCAAGCGCCCCCCACTGGGGACCTGGCTAGTAACCCAGGCATGTGACCTGACTGGGAATCAAACCAGTAATCCTCTGGTTCACAGGCCGGCACTCAATCCACTGAGCTACACCAGCCAGGGCTAGTTGTTTGGATTCTTAAAAAATATTTTATTTGAGAACAGTATTAGGTTTATAGCGTTATTGGAGAGATAGTACAGAGAGTTCCCTTACAGCCCACACCCCATTTGCCCTGTTACTAACATCGTATACAGGGTGGGGCAAAAGCAGGCTTACAGTTGTTTGTATGGAAAATGATGAAATAACAAATAATAATACAAGAATAAACTCTGTGTTTCATATACGCACAACTGTAAACTTCATTTTGCCCCACCCTGTATTATGGTACATTTCTCACAATTAATGAATTGGTGTTGATACTACGTTATGATGAGTTGGAGTCAGTACCCTATTCCGATTTCTTCCGTTTTTACGTAATGTCCTCTTTGTGTCTAGAATCCCGTCCAGGACACCCCGTTGTATTTAGTCGTCATGTCTCTTTAAGCTGCCCTTGGCGTGGCAGTATCTCAGGCTGGCCCTGTTTTTGATGACCTTGCCAGTTTTGAGGAGGACTGGGCAGGTATTTTGAAGACTGGTTCCCAGGTGGGATTTGTCTGATGTTTTTCTCGTGGTTAGACTGGGGTGATGTGTTTTTGGGATGAAGGCCAGAGAGGCAAAGCACCGTTTACATCCCGTCATATCATGCGGGCAGGCGTGCTAGTGGTAGGCATGTTGGACTCATTACTCTTGATGTTCACCTCGATTACCCGGGAAGGCTGTTATTTTTGCCCTGAGTGCAGCGGCAGGGCTAGATTAATGCCAGAAGTTGGCTGAAGTAAGGCCAAGATCAGAAAAATAGGACCAGGGCAGAAGCAAATGGAAAAGCAGCAAAGGAAAGTAAAGCAGGTGTGGGGTGGGAGCTGCGGCGTGTCCGTCACATACCGGTTCATGTGGAGATGAAATATTGAATGTGAGGGTGTTGGTGTTTCAGCTCCTTTAATCTTCTCAACAGCCCTTCCCAGAGACGAGGAAACTGAGGCCTGAAAGGGGAAATGGCATGGTCCCATGAGCCCGGGAACCTGGGCTTGTGCCGGGGTCTGCCTTTACTGCCTCTGTCTCTGGGTGTTGAATAAAATACCTGGAAGGCGCATTTCCAGGAGAGTCAATCAGGAAAGGAGTGTTCCTCATTGAGGTTGTTTCTGATTCACTTTATTCGTGATGGGTGATGATGAAAACACATTCTGTAAAAGAATATGCAGTAGAGATGAGAAATAGGAGCAGAGAAAATACGCTGGAAAATGTGGACAAGGAATAAGCTGAACATAAAGACCCGAAAAATGCCCACAGGTGACTTTCTGATTTGGCTATGAGCTTCCTGGCAGCCAAGGAAAAAAGGGATACAGGCTGATTCCTGTGGTTCCTATTCTCAGAAAGCAAAGAAGTTCCCTTTTTCAGAAACTATGTGGTAAATTTTAAAAGAAATTAATTACATGGAAATTTCACACTGAGCAATGTAATGGATAATGTCCTAGTAGTAATAGATGTCACATGGTGTCATCTTCAGGAGTGACGGCCATATTTTTACTATCTTGCCCCTTGGCCACAGTGGCCCTATTTGAATCTTACTCAGTCGTCACAAAGCAACTAAATTCTGTTTCTTCAGGAAGTCGCAGATGCCTGTACCCCAGCGAAAACCTGGGATGTGAAGTAGCCATCTACCTGTGTACTGCCAGGTTCTGCGCTGGGCACCGGGGAGGGAGGATGGTAAGATGACTGTTGCCCACCCCCCCGGGTCCTCTCCGTCCCAGGGGTAAAGACACCTGGACGAAGGCCTGAGTGTAATGCAGGTGCTGTGCCATGGTCCCACCTGCAGGCAGGGCATAATTCCTTCGGACTGGGGAGGAGAGGAGGGCCTTATGGGGGAGGAGGTAGGCCAGAGGTGGGGCAGAAGGCTGACAGTCTTGGGAGAGGAGGTATTGGGTATAGGTCCCTTGAGGTGATGACCGAGTCTTATACAGAACTACCCCTCAGCCATCAGCACAGGGCCAGACAAGCATCAAGGACTTCCTGAACTCCTGTTGAACGCTCAGCACCTGCAGAGCTAGGTCTGGGGTCAGGGCGACGGCCACACACTTGAGGGTTAGGTGGAGGGTGAGTCTAGAGAGGTAGGTTTAGGCTAGATGGGGAAGTCCTTGAATGCCAAGCTAAGGAGTTTGGATTTTGTTTTTAAGGAGGTGGGGATCAATTGAAAGTTTTTGAGCCTCTGTTTTATAAGAAACAATTATACAAATAATAACTGCTAACACTTAGTGGTCACTCACTGTGTGCCCAGTACCGTTCTAAGCATTTACCTACCTTAACTCATTTAAGTATCACAACAGTCCCATGAAGGAGGTACTGTTACTATTATCCCTCTTGTACAGATGAGAAAAGCAAGGCACAGAGAGGCAGAGTCATTTACCCAAGGTCACACAGCCGGGAGGTGGCAGAGTGGGGATCTGAACTGCGGCTTGAATCTAGAACTTTTATGTACCATATTATTGTATCTGTTAAATGCACGTATTAAACTAACATATAGCAGGAGTGTGTATTTGAGGACACACAAGGATTTAACAAATCTCTGCTAATTACTGGCACTAGAGAGGCAGGAATTGACAGGGCCCTTGGCCACAAAGGGATGTATCTCTAAGCGGCTGAGGCTTAGAAATCCACCCTGAAAACAGATTGGAGGGTGTGGCCAAGGAGTCCCAGGCCTGCGAGTTTCACTCAGGAGCTGCCTTTTCCTGCCTCTGACATGCTCCAGAATTCTTTGAAGATCCCCTGCCTGGGGCAGACCGACCACAGGAGCCACCAGGCCGTTGTCAGAGCTGCGTGAGCACGTCTGTTTCTCACTTCTGTTCACTGCAGGCCTTGGTTGCCACAGGGTGGGGTCTCTAGAGCTGACACCATCACACCCTCACCTGACTTTCATCACCTCCTCTGTGCAGCTGGGGAGCGAGCTGTGGTTTCTCCATTCTCGGCTGGGGGAACACCAGGCCTCCTCAGCTCCGCGGGGTGGGGTTCGGTGGGGCGGGCAGGACCAGAACGAGCAGATCCAGGCTTAGTCTCTCCACACTGCCAAGGCCGTTCCCCTTTCCCAGATGCTCGAGGCCAGGCGTGGCGCCCACAGCCACAAACGAGGCAATTAGGGAGATCAGGTGCTGGCCACCCTGCCAGCTCAGTGTCCGCAGACTCCGAGAGGTCCCCACCTGCAGAAGCCGCTCCCCCATCCTCAGTGAGCATGGGGCCAGGAGTCAGGACCCAGGTTCTAGGCCCAGCTCCGCCATTTACTAGCTGTGCGGCTCGGGTTCTCTGATGGCACATCATGAGATCAGTATGCTGTCTAGCCAGGTACTTGGGGAGGGGGTGGTAAAGGGGACAAGCCCTGCCCCTTCCCTAATCCTCAGGCTTCTCCTCTGTGAAGTGGAGATGCTGATTCCCCCTTCACAAGGCGCCTCGGGGTCAGGAGAGATTTTTGACAAGCAGCACAGAGTAGGTGTTGGGTCTCCCCTCCACACCCCTCCACTGCTTTTGTAAAATGGAAGTGATACCTGCTGAGGCTGAGGCTCTGCGGGGGTGTGGGCATCCCAGACCGTCAATGGAAGGCCCCGCCCCAGCTCTGGGCGGGTACAAAGATAGGGCTGCCATTGTTGTCGGACTGTCACTCATCTCCTGGGACCTGCTGCTCTCCCACCAGCCAGAGCCAGCTGAGCCATTCCCACGCCTGAGGTGGGTTCAGTTTCACCTCAGGGCCCCAGGCAGGTGTTTCAGGAAGGGCCCTCGTCTTTTGTGTGTTGAAAAATAAACAGCTCTCTGCGGATTTCTGCTTGGATTTCTGCTTGGGAGGTACGTGAGCTCTCCTCTTCCTGGGTCTGTCTGTCCACCGGTGGGTGGCAGTGGGATAGAGGTCAGGGGCTGCCTGGCCTCGGCCCCCGGGTCGAGCTTTCAGCCTGATGAGATTCAGTCCCTGCCTTCGAGGTTCTCCTGTCAGGTCTACAGCGCTCTGTGCTTCGGGGAAGGAAGCTTGGGGTCGGGGGCCTGGTAGGGGGCCACGCAGGGGACCGCAGAGCAGGGGACCACTGCCTGGGGTCAGGGGAGGTGGTCAGGAGAGCTCCGCAGAAGGAGTAACCTCTGAAATGAGACAAAGGGGGAGGAGCCATTGCTTCATGGCACCCAGGCAGGTTGTTTCCCTGAGCCTTCGTTGCAGAGGGAAGGGCTCATGAGACAGTGGGTGTGAAAGAACCGACAAACCCTCACAGCCCTAGGCGTCCAGGCAGCAGTACCCACTGTGCCAGGACGGAGAGACGCGAGGTGACCCGGACTTCTTTTTCAAGGGCCTTTTCCTTGGGTGGTTGACACCTGTAACTTAGTGTGACCAAGGGTCCTAGTTTCAGAAAAGGCTCAGCTGTAACCCAGCATCAGGTGAAGAGGCCCGGGAGCTCCTTCTCTCTCAGGTGGGTAATGGGAACGCCTTCACCCAGTGAGAGAGAGGCAGAAGACTCCAGGATTAAAATTCGTGCTGTACTCCTCTGCCTCCCGTGGGACCTGCGCCCCTTACGTGAGTTTCCTGTGTCCTTGAGCTTGGCCACATTAGATGCACCAGGATTTAAAGGCACCGGCCCAGAGCACTTGGCACTTCCCTTTCGCTGGCCCCGCCTTTCACGCGATCTGTCGAGCACCTTCAGCCTGCCAGGTGATGGGAACCCCTTGGGCCAGACGGGTTCCAGCCCTCACAAAGCTCACAGTTCTGCGGCGTGGAGGGAGAGAGACGTAAAACCCGGGTGAGGGCCACACGGCGAGGGTCCCGGAGAGTGCGCGCAACACAAAGTGCAGACCCTGTGGGCAGGGGCCCTGGGGGACTGGAGAGGGACTGTCCCTGTAGAGTTGTGACCAAGGGAGTGTCAGGATTAGAATGTCCTTTTTAAAGATGCATGCTGGCTGCTTGAGGGGACTTGAAGAGGGCAGGGGTGGAAGCCAGGAGCTGTCTGTCCCTGTGGCTGGGACCCTGGAAAGTCACCTCACCTCTCGGAGCCTGTGGCTTTCCACGTGTGTGTGTGTGTGTTGTGAGAACCAGGTACAGAAGTGAACAGAAGTACTTTGAGAAAGCCGAAAAAACGTATAAATGGAGGGGATTCCAGGTCTCACTGGAAGTGGAGGGTCCTTGGGAAACTGTAGAGTTAGGGTGCTGGGTGCAAGGGAGAATGTGGGTGTCCCGAGTCTGCCTGAGCACCCCAAATCTGAGACCCCAGTTTTCCAGCCTAGGTCACGGCCCCTGAGGGGCCTCAGGGCCTGGGGAGGGAGCACCTGCTCAAGGCTCTTGACTCCTGAGAGGAAAGGGTGACCTTCCTGGTCTTTGACGAGGCCTGAGGCTGAAGCCAGGATTCTTACTGTTTTGGGTGGAGGGTGGCACCTTTGAGCTTGAAGGCAAGCATTGGATCCAGCTCTGGCCACTCACATGTTTTTCCTTCTAGGACACACACCATTTTTCCTTCTCAGTCAGGGGAGTTCTCTGGAATTTTTTTACATTGTTCATGAATTCTAGCTTAAAGACCCCTGAGCTAGAGGAAGGAAGACATGAGAGGGGAGATACCTGCCTCTTTTATTCTGCCTCTTTCCCCCTCATCTTTGCAGCTCAGGTGGAGGAGGCCACCGGCACTGCACCTAAGGGCCAATGGAGGACCCTCGCAACTGTTGTGGGCCAAACTGACCTAACCCTGGACTCTTGGTATCTGCCACTAAGGATTACTGAGGCAGGACTTCAGGTTTTTTAGAGAGAGGGGTTGCTGCGGGCCCCTTCCTGCCTGCGAGAGGCTGGCTGTGCCCTGACCTGTGGGAAAGGCACTTTCCGCCCTGGACAGGGACCAGAACGCTTAGGCCTTGGGGGGTCTTCTGGTCGCGCCTGGGAAGAAACCGGAGCCGAGCGCGGATCAGGCCCCGCCCGCGAAGGTGGTGCAATGCTGCCCGGCCGGCTCTCCCAGACCAGCTGAGGCGCAAGCCACAGCGGCAGCGACGGTGGGAACCTCAGCGTCAAGGGGTGCATGCCGACCGTGTGGCTACTGCACCCAGCGGCTGCAGCGCTGTCGCTGTCGGCACTGGGGGTGAGGGCAGCGTTGCCTAAGCATGGAGAGGGGGGAGGCGGGTCCTCCTTCCCCGCCTTGGGTTGGTTGCTGGACAGGTGTCGGTGTCCCGGGCCGGGTGGGGAGGGAGTTGCGCGTAAGCTGTGGCCACGTGGTTGTGATGGTGGTGGCGGGAGCGGCACCCAGGACACTTCCCCATTTTCCCCATTTGGGTGTGAGAGCCATGGAGGCGCTGAAGGAGTCTGTGCTGCACTTGGCCTTGCAGATGTCGACCTACAAGCGGGCCACGCTGGATGAAGAGGACCTGGTGGACTCACTCTCCGAGGGTGACGGGTACCCAAATGGCCTGCAGGTAGGAGCCCCTGTCTTCTGTGAGAGCCCGGTCGGGGATGGGCAAAGGAGGGCGGGGTATGGGGCGGGGCATACACGCCCCCCTGCACACCGCCCCCGCTCCGCCCCCATCCTTCCAACCCCTGAGGGGGCTGTGAAGCCAGAAGCTGTGGGTAGCCCTGGGCTCATGGGGAACAAGCCTTCCTGGGGCAAAAGTGCCCCTGGGGCTCTGAGCTTCCCCACCAGCCTCCCCTCCCCCCAGCTCTGTCCCAAACCCTCTCATCCACCTAGTCAGGGGGCTACAGCCCCTAGGTGACAAGAGTTGAAGCACATACCCTCTCTACCCCTCCGGAGTTGAATCGGCCGATTCCCCTTTCACATGAGAGGCAGTTCCTGAGCAGGGAGGGACTTGCTCTGGGTCACACGGCCCATTACTGGCAGAGTCTCAAACTGTCTTAGCATGAAAACCCTGCATCCCCGTGCAGGCCACACAGTTGGTCACCCTCTGTGGTGGGCATTGCCCTGTTCTTCCTCTTTCCACACAAATACCTAAATTTCTGGAGGGGCGGGGGCAGCCATTCTCTGCCCCCTTTCCCAGCTACTTTTCAGCCTGATTCCTCCCTTCCCAGGATCTGCCCCTGTGGGAATTTGAGAAGCCCACCACCTCTCTGCCTTGTGGCACAGTGGTGAGCAAGGCTGCTTTCTGCTCTCCTCTCCTGGCGGGACAGAGTGGGACAGTCCTGACCGGGACCCTGGTGGAGCTTTTACCCAGGACTTCCTCCAGGCTGACCGTGGGAGCAGTGGGGGTGTCTCGGGGCCTCCCAGTGAACTGACACCACAGCACTGCGCATCTGGAGGGCAAGCTTAGGGAGTATGGAAGCCCAGGCCGCCAGACCCAACCCTGCTCAGGCACACCTCTTTCTGGAGTGAAAATACTAATAGAGGGAAATAGCATCGACTGAGTCCTCCCTCTGGGCTCCATAGATCCAGGGAGGTCCAAACTCACGATCCCAAGTGGAATGTGGCGCCCTTACCTACATTACCCTCCTTAATCTTCAGGGCCCCCCATGAGCCGTCGGGGTTACTGTGCCCGTTACAGGTGAGGGAATGAGACTCTGAAAGGGAGGACAACTCACCGAGGGTCCAGAGCTAGAAATCCGGAGCCAGAAATCAAACCCAGTCTGTCCAGAACCTCCTCCCTGCGGGTACTTCGTGAAAGGCTAAATCCAGCAGGAAATGAGATTTCTGTGGCAGGCACTTCTCCCTTCACCAATCAAAACAGAAGCTAATCAGCAATCTTTTTAGTCTCATGTTCCACAGCAGGTTCTAAATATACCCACACAAAAGCATTTGGAATTCACAACAAAATCATGTGCCATTTGTTGCCATCAAGCCAGCAGCCCACGTGGGGAGAGCCTTTTCCAGGTCACGCATACATTCATGCCCCCGAGGCTGCCTGAGGGCGGGACGGCAGCTCAGTCCCTGAGGCCTTGGGCCCTGGTTTTGATTTCTGATTCCACTCAGATCTCGGGTGAGCTGCTTAATCCCATTAAAGCACAATTCCTTCATGTAAGAAAACTTTTTTTAAATTTGTTTTTTATCCTCACCCGAGGACATGCTTATTGATTTTAGAGATCGGAGAAGGGAGGGAGAGAGACAGCAATGCCTCTTCTAAGCGCCCCAACACCACCACCCAGGCACGTGCCCCACCTGGGAATCGAACTGGCGACCTTTCAGTTTACAAGATAACACCCAACCAGCTGAGCCACTCGAGCCAGGGCTACAACTCATTTGTAAAGTGGGAGATAAGAGAAAGTGGATGGGATGCATAGTACGAGGCCTGCTGTGACTGTTGTTTTTATGACCGAGGAGGTGAGGACCACTGTGGCTGTGGGGCAGATGGTAATGCTGAGTCTCGGAGAGATCAGGAAGGTTCCTGTAGATACAGCTGTCATGCAGGTTGGATGCAGTGTTGGGGTCCCTACACCAGACTGGGTATCTTGCCCACTTTTTTTTTTTTTACAGGAAAAGCCAAAAAGGTTGCTTCAAGGATTTGGGGAGTTTCTTTGGGTACAGAGTCTGGCTTTGCCTTAAGCCTCCACAGCTTCTGCCAAGCAAATATGCACTAGTCCAGTGCTTGTTCTCCAGAACCCACCCACCTCTGCTGATGAAGCAGAGTTTTCTATTAATTTTATGATTTTAATCACTGGGTTTTTTCCCCCAATATACATTCTTTACATGCTCATTGGTAAAAAAGAAAACCAGTATATTAAAAAAAAGTTTTAAAAAGAAATAGCAGTCCCACTGCTCGCACGGAGGTAACACTTCTAGTTTTTTGCATTTGCACGTGTGTGTGTTTAGACATCGTTGAGCTGACCCTCGGCCACAGCGCTGCTCCCTGCTTTTCTCACTTGTGACACTTCAGAAGCATTTTTCTGTGTTGTTAAAAACCTCCAACATGTGCTGCCATTAACAACTGTAATACCTCAAGGCACCAGTACATGAAGATATATGTAGTCAGTCAATCCGCTATATTTGGACAATAGTCCCAGTAACTGGAACACTGTGATTGACTGTCTTTAAGCCTTTTGGGTAATTTTCTGTCAGTTGGTTGCTAGAAACACAACTCCTTCAATGTTAGGCTTTTTAAAATGGACCCACGCTTCCCAAATCTCCCTCTCTTGAAGGGCAGCTATAAAAATAAGCTACTTGATTTTTCAAGATTTTGAAGCCCATTTGGTGCTAGGAACTCCAGAGTTGTTGATAAGAGTTCTAGCAAACGAAAACTTGCCACCTTCATTACCGACTAGGCTGACAAACTGGTGGATTTAGCTGGAGCTGAGTCCCCCTATCCCTCCCTGGAAGGGTCTTTCTTTTCCTTTATCTCATATTTTAGGCACAAGTTCATTGTGGTTCACCAAAATGAGTCACCGTGGGCTGAGTGCAGAATCAAAAGCCAGGTAGCTCTAACACAGCATCCCAGCTTTGCCTCTCACGGGCCGTGGGACCTGAAAGCAACTCAGTGCCTAATAGTACGGCCTCACCTCTCGGCGCTGTGGCAACATTGAAATGATGCCACGGAAGTGAAAGCCTTTTGTGTAGTGCACAGAAAACGGATTTGGTTGTTAGCAGGGCCATCATTGAAACGCGCCAGGCGTGACATCTCAGCGATGCCCTAAATCTAATCACTCCTCTCCTGGAAGCGTGCGCTCTGCTCAGACTGGCTGCCCGGCCTCCCCGCACCCCCGCAGACACCTTTTCAGTGGCTTGAAAGGGAAAAAAAGCTCAAGTTACCCACGCAGCCTCAACTGGGGGCAGATGGCAGATAGCCATGACTATTTACCCAAACCTCAGATGCTCATCCAGTTAACTGGAAAGTGCTTCTTCTGAATACAAGACTTTGATTCCTGTTAAGATGCAAATTCTTAAAGGAGCTCCTTGAAGCTGTTGTCAGGCAGTGGAAGAGTCAGGCAGGAGGGACACAGGGACAAGTAGGACTCAGAGAAGAGATGGGGAGGACTCCAGTGAGGACTTACAGTTTTGCTGTGGACTGGCCCCGGTAGCCTTAGCCAAGACTCACCATATAGAAACTTCTAGAAGAAACCTCCCCAACCTAACACCCTCACAGAGGCAGAGCGCTGCTCTGGACCAAGCTGTCATGGTCTGTCTGCTCTGAAGGGCTGACCCCAAGGCAGGCAGCCCGCTTGCCCTGTCAGTCCTCCCGGGGCGGCTGGGCTCCTGAGCCGCAGGGGGCGGGCTCCCTGCCAAGCCCTTGGCCAGGCTGACCGCTGTCTGCTGCTCCATGACGCCCAGGTTGCCTGAGGACCTGGCAGTCGCTCAGCCACTGCCTTCCCTCCCGACCCCCCTGCTTTGTCTGAAAACCAGGCTGGGCCCCCGTCCCCAGTCCTTCTGCTGCTGGCTTGTCGCCTGGGCCCCAGGCAGCCGTGGCCCTTCCTCACCTGGGAACTGCCTGCAGAACTCGTTTTTGCTGTAAGCCCAGGCGAGCCATGCACTCACTTCTGTAACCGAATATTTATCCCTCGCCAGGGCTTTGTTCCCTTCTCGTGGAAACCCTGGGAACCCTCAGGCCGCACAGCGCAGCTGGCTCGCGCTCACTCCGCTTCCCTGGCTCCACTGTCTCTCCGCCTGTCCCCCTCTCCACCTCTCCCCTTGGAGGGCATCCTTTCTTTCTGACTCATTCTTTCTTTTTTTTAAAGGCTTAGTTATTTATTTTTAGAGAGAGGGGAAGGGATGGAGAAGGAGAGGAAGAGAAACATCAGTTTACAGTTGCCCCTCACGCACCCCCTACTGGGGACTTGGCCTGCGACCCATGCATATGCTCTGACTGGGAATCGAACCTGAGACCCTTTGGTTCACTCAATCCACTGAGCCACACCAGCCAGGGCATCTGTCTCATACTTCACCTCACACAACAATAAGTGGATTTTAAGCCCACCAGTGAGCCAAGCATTTACAATAATTCTCAACCCCATCTTCTAAGGTGTTGGCTCTGCTCCTTGGTGGATGGTCACATACCCAGGGTGGAGTGGGCTGCCCACTACTAATCCTGGTGATCAACATGCCCTTATTTCCAAAAGGAACAGGGGAAATCTTTGCATCCTCCCCTTGCTGTGGACTGTCTTGCTGGATCCTCTGAAGGAGGCGGGGCAGGATGATGGCGGCTGAGCGAGAAGAAGGGGCTCGCTAGCAACTCGGATCTATAGCCCCAGCCCTGTCCAGGAGTTAGACCTCCTCCCCTGGAGAGGTCTCTTTGTCAGCACACTGCCTCCAGGTGACTTCTCGTGCCCACGGGGTGGCCTCTGGAGCCCTTCCACACTCAGAGATGGGCTTGGGCCTTGTCTAGAAACCAAGAGACCCTTGCGACCGGGCAGGACAAGGCGAGCGAAGACCATTACAAAGGTTAAAAACCCTGTTTTCAAATCCTCTTTTCTGTTTCCCCCTGGAACTGTGAATTTCTCATTAGATTCTCACTTAATTCTAATTAAATTGTACAGAGAACACCATCGAACAATGAGGCTCAGCTCAACTTTGCTCCTTGGGGGCAGCACGGCCATGGGGCTGAGGCTTCGGGTTCAGGAGTGAGACGGCCCTTCCCACTGTTCTCTCTCCTCCGCCCCTGCCACTTCCTGTGTTCCTTCTGGACCTGATACCGTTACCCACTCCTGGGGATGTTGTAGAGACAGAACAGCCCCACCCAGGCACGTGGAAAGCACTCAACTGTTAGCTGCCATTATTACTCTTTTTTTCCCTTGCCTCCTCCCCTCTGTTCCTTTCATTGTCTCCCTTCCCTTCATGTCTGTCTGCTCTTCTTGCACCTCCTCCGACTCCCCACCTAAACCGCAGTATTGCTCAGTCCACATAAAGGGAGCTTTCCTGCTCCCCCCAGCCTGGAGGCTGTGCTCCCGGGCTTCCCAAAGCCAGCACTAGGCAGAGGGCTCCCCGCCTCTTTGACCTTCCCCGCCTCCCCAGGAGCTAAGCCATGATCATGAGGCACTGAGAGGCCCAGAGCAGGAGGCAGAACATAACAGAGGTCCAGGGGCAGGGCCGCTGGAAGACTGAGAGTCAGTGTCAGGCCTGCTTTGTCCCCTTTGGGGCCCATCGGAATGCAAGGTAAACTGTGTGAGGAGTCTGGTGCCTTGGAAGAGGCACTCGTGGGCCTTGCGGTGCTGCGAGCCTGTCGACATCACCCCGGGTGCTCTCTCTCTCTCTCTGCACCAGGCCCTCCCAGCCCAAAGTCTTCACTTAATGGCAGCAGTGTGGGCAGAGTCTTTGTTTCTCACATATTTTAAAAAAAAAGGTCCTTAAGGGATTTTAGGAGGTAGCACCCCTCCCCCGCTCCCGACCCCACCTGACACAGCTGCTTCGGTTTCTGAGCCTCCTGGACCTCCTCGGAAAGTATGACTGGGCCCCAAGTTCCCTTTCTTGGTTTTAGAACCCAGTTTTCTTTCTACGAGAATTTCTTGCGTTCCCCTTTCTCTGGCACAATTCCTTGTCATTTCCTGGCCAGAACATACCCAGTGATGACCACAATGATGACCTTGAGGCCACTGAGTGCCCTTCCTTCCCCAAGGTGACCAGCCTTAGACCCCCAAGTGCCAGTGTGACCTGGCTCCCGGGGGCACGTGCAGGTCAGAGTCTGGGTCTCCCCCTCTCCTCTGGCAGCTCTTTTCCCTCTCCGTCCCCTTTCCTTCTGCACTCACCTGGCCAGCTC